GAAAAATTCTAAAAATATTAGCAGTAGACTCCACACCACATTAAGAAACAATTTACCACTACCAATAGGGTTTTAGGCCAGGAATGTAAGGATGGTTATGCATTAAGTAACATTAATCTCATTTACCTACTCATAGATTTAAAGAGAAAGGTCACAGGATTAGCTCCATGGAAAAAGCCTTTGACAAATTTAACAACCATTCTATATGAAAACACTTAAGAAAATCAGATGAATGCTTTCTTAACTAATGTTACGAATTACATATCATAAAAGTCAGAATTTCACTTAATGCAGAAATAGTGAAGGCATTCCTAAAGCCAAAAACAAGGCAAAGATGACCTTGATCTCCACTAGAGTTTCATGAATGATATTAGTTAATACAATTACATAAAGAAGTTAGAAGGATAAGAACTGGGAGAGTTAAAGTTATATTTGACAATGGCATGGCAGTATACCAAAAAAATTTCAGAGAATTATAAACAAACTGAAACATGAGAATTTAGTGAGCCCTATGGTTTGAATGTGTCCCCCAAAGGTTCATGTATTGGAAACTTAATGCTCAAATCCACATTTGGAGATGGGCCTTTGGGAGGTAATTAGAATTAGATGAGGACATGAGGGTGGGGACCCAACATGGTATTAGTAACTTTATAATAGGAAGGGAGACTCCAGCTAGCACACTGTCTTGCCATTCATGCCCTCTGCCATGTTTTGATGCAACAAAAAGACCCTCACCAGATGCTGAGGCCATACTTTTGGACTTCCCAGCCTCCAGAACCTTCAGCTAAGCAAACCTCTATTCTTTACCCAGTCTGTGTTATTCAGTTATAATAACAGAAAATGAACTCACATAACAGGAGGATACAAAATTAATATGCAGGGACTGGGGATATAGTACACTGGTTGTATAATTACCTAACATGCAGGAGGCCCTGGATTTAATCCCCAACACTGCAAATAAAGAAAGAAAATATGCAAAAGCAATAGCCTTCAGCCACATAAATTATGCCAACCAAAAGATAAAATGGAAGAGAAAAGTCTCTTTAAAAATGGCAAAAAAAGATGAAATACTTAAAACATACTTTAAAAAATCCACATGAAGAAAATAACAAAATTATTGGAAAAATATAAAAGGATACTTGAGCAAATGCAAAAAATCCCTGTTTTTGAATAAAATGTTTCATCAAGATTATCAGTTCTCCCTTAGTTATCAATCAAAAACAAAATAACATCAATTTTTTTTCTGAAATTAGAAAAGTTGAAACTAAAATTTAATAACAAATCAGTCTGTCAACTTAGAACCAAACTGTGACTTAAGGAAGAAAGCTGTATGTTGGTGGTCTAATGAATTGCCTTATGATCTCTTGAGCCAGTACTATTCACCTTGAGCTTATCTGCTGCCATATGGAAGGATTTATGATTTCTTAATAATATCCAAAAGAAGCTGAAAATCTTAGTTGTCATGTGATATTTTACAGCCTAAATATGTTGGAAATTTAAAAAATAAAATATAGTTTGGGCTAAATAAAATACATCTTGCCTGTCATGGCTAAACCACAGGCTGTCAATAGTTGACTTTTCAGGGTGGTAACCTTTCTGTAAAGGGTCAGATACAAAATAATTTTTGGCTTTGTGGAATACATATAGTCTTTGTCATATATTCCTGTTTATTTTTACATCATTAAAGATGTAAGAAGACAGTAAAAGATAGGCCCTCAGGTGGTATGTCACTAGTTTATCCATAGAATCCATTAACCTTGAGATTCAACTATGAGTATTTTGGAAGAAGACAGCCCATGTTGTTTACCTCTCAAATAATTTTCTTTTAAAATCAGGCTGGGATAAGCATAACTTATATAAGTCCATTGTAGTGGGTCATTTCATAATATAGTACATTTTCATCCTGGCATATCCTGGAAACATATCCTGAAAGGGAGTTTATACATAATTTTCAGACACAATCCTACCATCTGTCACATTTAGCTGTTCTTACAGATAATACCATATTACCTAAGAAATATTTTCTAGGTATTTTACTTCATGTTCTCAAAAAACAGTATTACCAGATTTATAATCTGGACTTTTCTGTGCAAGAATTACTGGCGTGGTTCTAGGTTTTGGGTTGCCAGTTGTACTCATTTCCTTTCCTTTTCTAATCCCTTAAAGAGGATCATGTTTGATAAAATTTAGAATAATAGCATTTATTTCTGAAACAGGCCAAGAACTTTATAATCCTGTTAGACTAATGATGTGGCAAACATCAGAGGAAAATTCATACCGATTTATCCAGTAGGGAGTGGCATTGCCACAGGAAGAACAATTCGGTGATTTGATCTGCTCCTGGATAACTGTGAAAGTTACCAGGACACTATCTTTTTTTATAATCTCTTAAAATTAGAACATATATTATTTCTGAGATTTAAAAGATAACTACATGTGAAATGGTTGATAAGATGGGTATCAGGTTTCAAATACCTTGCAAACTGCATAATTCATTGAAAAGATATTGGGATTATCAAGCATAGCATGACTTACTGAATCATATTTGGTCCTAGATCACTTATAATTCTGTTTACCCAAGTTGCATCACATAAATTCTGGCATCAATAACAAAACCAGTCCAAGACTAAGGATTACCTTGAGTCTGGCTGAACTAATGCCCCTGGGCTACTTAATTAGTATCTCCAAATTTAACTCTTAAAGATTAGTAATGGTGGTAGAGCACGTGCTGAGCATGCACAAGGCTCTGGGTTCAACCCTTAGCATATACCACCCCTCAGGAAAAAAAAAAAAAAAAAGGGATTATCAACAGTGGTGTGCTGGGGCAGGCGAATCAACCATTTTAACAGCAAGCTAGCTGTTAGACACAGACATCATGAAAGATTAAGTTATAATTTGGTTTATAATTTATAACTAAGTTTATAAATTGTTGTTGTACTCATTTCCTTTTCTAATCCCTTTGCAATGAACTTTATTAAAAACAAAGATAAAGATAAAAAATTCATCTCTCCCTAATTATTTTACTATTACTTATGTTCTTGAGATTATTTTTATCTACTGCATCTGTATGGTAGGTGAGGGGAAAGCGAGAAATGAAAGACAGAGACCAGGCAGAGATACACACAAGAGTTTATTCATCAGAGCTGACAAATGAAGGCCATCTCTCTATAGGAGAGAGAGGCAAAACAGGCTTGAGTTCTTGGACTTCTATGGGGAAGGCTCAGGAATCAGAACCGGGCGGGTCCAATGCAGGTAGTTAAGGGTTGGGTTGGTATGAGGGAGTGGTGAGCCTTTCTCAGGAAGGCCCTTGGGTGGGAAATCAAAACTTTTTCCTTAAAATGGCCATCCAGATGCTAAGCAAGGACCTTATAGTAGGAGTACTACAAAATTGTGTACACTGACCTTCTTTTCCAGTTCTGTATTGTTATCACATTAGTAACCTGAAATTGGCTATGCTGGGAGCATTAACAACATACAAATAAATACTAAATCAGCCTCCCCTTTCCCTAGAGTCAGTTATTAAGCATATACCAGTACATTTTTGGCAATACAAGGGTGTCCTAATCTCTGATATAATCTCACAAATAGATATTGTTTTATTCATTTGTGTATTAGACCCATAAAGATACCCTCTCAAAAGTTGCCTCAACACTTATACAATAGCATTTTTTAGGTTTTATAAGAAATGGCTTATTTTTTGAACATAACATACTTTCTAAGCAAGAAAGCATGATTTCTAATAAATGACAACTGGGTCTGAGAAACTTTGGAAATCTCACAATCAGTGTTTTAAAAAAAGGCTTATGGCAGATTATTATTGTTTCTTAAATCAAATTCTTTTTTTTTTTGTGAGAAGAGCTTTTGCCCTAAGGCAACATAAACTGGCCCCACCAACAAAGATGGACCAATTTGTGCCTGTCTACCCCCAAGAAGTGATTAAGTAGGCCCAGAGGAACTCCCTACAATACAAAGGCCAGATTCACTAACAAATGGTTTGGATGCCATTTGGGTCATTTCAGACATACGGAGTATTTCACTCAAGTTAAAAGAATACCAAGATTGGACAGTGTTAAAAAAAAAAAAAATAAGGCATGTGTTGTAAAAGACATTATCAATTTTTATCTTTTCCTTTAAAAGTCTCTTTTGGAGTGCTTGCAAAAACTCTAAGCTGAATTGGTAAAAAAAATATATATATACGTGGGATTTATTTTACTTTTAGCCTATCCCTTTGATAGTTTATAAAAACCTAGAATTCTGCATAGTTGGTGATGTATACTATACAAACAACTTTATGATCTTATAAAAAGTGCATAAATCAGGACAAAGAACTGTATGCTTACTTCCAGCAGAAAAAAGTATCAAAAAGAAGGTGGTGGTCTGCATGTCTATGTTAAACTACTACTTAACTCAAAATTGAGAAACACCAATTTTCTATATTTTTTCCCCTGTGGGAGATTTGCAAAGATGATTCAGTATACTGAGTATCAATCACACATTTTCCACCAATATTGAGAAACAATAATACAACCATCAGGGTTTTAAAGATTATTTCTAAACATCAACATGTACTATGTATTTGTATAACAGAGTCTTCAAATGCACCCTTAGTATTTAATATTTAAATGAAAACAAAAAAGTCATGCTTTTGACCTTTGAAAAAACATCTATAAATTTGATTTGACTGAGATGGATGACTTTACTTTGTATATCTTAACTTTGAATGAGCACTGAGGTATATAGTTATCAGCCTGCTTTCAATCTATCAAAAAAGGTGAAGATTATCTGCATTTCATACTTTTAAAAAATATTATTTTAATTATCGGTAGACATTTATTTAATTTATTTATATGTGGTGCTGAGAATCAAACCCAGAGCCTCACACATGCCAGACTACCGCTGAGCCCCAGCCCTAGCCCCTGCATTTCACATTTTATTTAAAAATAATAAAATGATAGTTACAATAAATGAAAATTCAGTACAGTTAGTTGAAAAATATTCTAAAATTTACATATTTACAAGCTCATAGATCCTCTACAACCATTGAACATTTTAGTCTATGTAATCAAAGTCTTCTGGAATTCCAAAAGTTTTATCAATTTTATTTTCTTCAAATGCAAATTTTCTTTTGGCCCAGGATTTTAGTGCAAATATATTATCTAAAAGAAAAAGAGAGCGAGAAATAGTTTTAAGAATTAAAAACACAATCATAAAATATTTCAAATGCAATTATCTTCATTGCTCCTTTATTTCCTCTTATTGCTTTCTGCTGTATTAAGTAGTCTTTATTTTCAAGATTAACAGCAATAACCATAAATAAAAGATATTTTGGACAAGTAAACATATCTCATATTAAAAAATTCAGTAAGTTATGTGCTGTTAAACAACACAGACAGGGACTGGTTAATGGTATCTCTTCTGCATTTTCACCACAGAGGTCTGACTGTTGCCTCAGGAATCAGTTGTTCCAATAGGAACACATGCTTTCCAGATACTTCTTTCTCGCCCTCAGAGAGAAATGGCTTTCAAACAATCAGGCCAGTGTGAGGGAGAAGGAATGAGGGAAAGGGAAAGGGTTTCTGTCTCTTAAGACAAAGATAGGAACAGATGTGTCTTTGGTATCCCCTGGGGTGGGGTGGGGGGTATAAATGCCTTTTATCAATTAAAAATGTGTTATTTCTACTTAAAAGAATATATCCCAACGAAAGAAAATAAAGTATGTGCAAAGATTTCTTTTGGTCAAGGATTTTCATTCATCCCAGTTAAAGGAGAGAGAGAGAGAGCAAGAGAGAGAGAGAGCGTGAGCCAGCGAGCGCACAATCGAGAGCGAACAAAAAAAGCAATGCAAATGTCTAACATGCTAACAGTGACTGCGATTGGGGAATGGGAATGAGGGTGAGTTTCCCCACCTTAATTTCACACATTTCTTTTATATACACATACAACTTTTATAATGAAAATTATTCTACACATAGAAAAACAATGATGTAAGGTTTTCTGGTTTGTCAGAATATGTTAAGCACTGTATTAGTAGTGATAATGAAGCAAAGGGCTCAAATGGGTTCTTCTGGAGTGTTATGGGCTAATCATGCTACTACTTCTCCTCCCCTTACTCATATTTGAAGTCCTAATCCCCCTTATCTCATAATGTGACTGTACTGGTGACAGGATCTTTAAGAAGGTGATTAAGTTAAAAATGAGGTGGTTAAGCTGGGCTCTAATTCAATTTTATAATAAAAGAATATTTGGGCACATTGAGAGACATTAGCTTTGCCTAGACCATGGGAGGACCCAGGATGGGGGAGGGGGACAGTCATGTGCAAACCAAGGAGAGGCTTCAGAATGGGACCTTGCTAACACCTGGATTTTGGATTTGAAGCCTTGGGAATGGTCAAAAAATAAATTTCTGCTGCATAAACCACTCTGGTATTATCTTCTGGCATCATCCTGGAATACCTCATACTATTGTTTTAATATTCTCACCTGTTATGAAAAGTAAAGATTCATCCAGGAGCAGTGGGGCACACCTGGAATCCCAGTGACTCAGGAGGCTGAGGCAAAAGGATTGCAGGTTGTCAATTAATATATATATGAAGCTTTATCACTCTTTAATATAGTTTCAGTGGAAGTTTAATTCCAAGTATCAAATGATGATAAAAAAATTCCTGGAATTTTTATTTCTAAGGTGAATACTGCTGCTTCACATAGAATAGGCAGTCTAACAAAAATATCATTTCTTTGATTTAAAGTGTTGGGGGGATGGGAAAAATGGAGAAACTTTGGGCAAAGGGGAGGGAGGAGTGAGGAGGGTGCATGGTGGCAGGAAAGATGGTGGAATGAGATAAACATCATCACCCTAGGCACATGTATGACTGCACATATGATGCGACATTATATAGACATTATATATCGTGTACAACCAGAGAAATGAAAAGTTATGTTGCAATTGTGTACAATGAATCAAAATGCATTCTGCTGTCATATACCTAATTTAAATAGATTAATTAATAAAAAATAAAGTATTGTGCTATTTCAACAGTATAAAAATGAACCTTCACTCTTTATTTGGCAGGTGGGGGAAACTGTACCCAAGGGTGCTTAAGCCATATCGTTAGCCCTTTTTATTTTTTAAATTTATGTTGATGATTATTTTTTTGTGTGTGTGGCACTGGGGATTGAACCCAGGGCCTTGTGCATGAGAGCCAAGCACTCCACCAACTGAGCTATATCCTTGGCCTCCTTTTTATTTTTTGAGAGACAGGGTCTTGCTAAAGAGTTTAGGGCCTTGATAATTTGCTGAGGCTGGTCTCAAACTTGCAATCCTTCTGCCTCAGCCTCCTGAGTCACTGGGATTACAGGTGTGCCCCACTGCTACTGGATGAATCTTTACTTTTCATAAGAAGTGAGAATATTAAAACAATAGCATGAGGTATTCCAGGATGATCTTTTAGTACTTAACAATCAAAACATTCTTGCCAATCATAGTCAAGTATTTGTAAGGGCCCACTGCTACAGAATATAGGTATTAAGTGTATTAAAGATACTACAGAATGTAAAGAACCTATGCCTTCAAGCTGACATGAGAGAGAAATATCATTAATTTATTACAGAACAATTCCAAAGTGATATGTGTGTTAGAGAGAAAAGACCAAGTATTATGTGCATAGCTTTCAAGATAGGCTTCATGAGTACAGAAGGATTTCTAGGACATGGGAGAACATAAATAATACTGGAAGAAGCTTGCAGTGAACAGACTTTGAACATGGGTCAGGAGAGATGAAAATGAGGCACCAAAGTGAGGTTATTCAACAGTCTCTGCAGGAAGGAGTTTCTGGTTCACACAGGACAAGAAAACATTTTAATCTGAATATTTACTCGAATATTAACACAAAAGAAGTAACAAATAAAAGCTTCTTTACAATAATGCTAATAGAATTAAATACTTCCTTGGGCCATAAGCTATCTGTCTTCAAGATAACATATCCATATCTTGATAAGTCATTCCCTATCTTATGATTTTCCTATTATATAAAAATTTTTGTAAATGGATAAAGAATAATTTTGTTTAAAAACAACCTTAAGTCTAGTAAATTCTTGTTAATCTACCTGGTTGCATACCCAAGATACATATAGGAATAGGATGGGTAATATCACTTGCTATAAACCTCTTAGGACCTCACACATTAAGATGCTTCTTGTATGTGTTTACAAAAACTCCCCTATCTCAGGCTGGAATGTAGCTTAGCCCTGGGTTCAATGTCTAGCACAGCAAAACAACAAAAACTACTGTTTTAATTATTAATAAGTAAGGTTTTAGGTGATATAATTTGTTAATTACATTTAAAGTGTATTTAATGTTGCAAAACAATAAAATGTGATTTTTCTATATTTATACTAAGTAATTTCATTCTATATTATTAAACAGAAAATACTCTCAATTATAGATACATTTTAAAGACTTTGTTATGTAGAAAGAAACCAAACCTTAATTGATAGCTAATTAATAATTTTTAGTTATAAGTAATACTGATATTTTCTGTTTGTTTTCATGAGAGGGAGATTTTCTGAGGTGTGATTTGCTTTATTACTTATCTCCGCCTTTTCATAATACATGTTTATGCTAGAAAAAATAAGCTGTAACCTCACATGGAAATGTTTCTTAACAGCTGTTTCTGTTATTCTAAAAATATCTTTCTTCCACACACTTTTAAAAATGCCAGTTTTTTTTTTTCTAATTATAATCTAGGAAGTTTATGATGAATTGGAAGACAATTTATAATTGTTTATTTAACTGAAATTTATGATGAAGAATGGGAAAAGGAAGAGGGAATTTACTGATGTGTCTAATATTGTGTTGAAGAGTTTACAGACTGTCTTATTTAGGCCTCTCAAAATGTGACGTGGATATCCACACTGCACACATGAGGAAGCAGGTTCAGAGAAGTTCAAGGGGTCACTTAGCTAATAAGGAGCTCGGCTTGGACACTTTTCAAAGTCAAGTTCCTCGCACTGTACACACATGATGCCTGTTCCTACTGCTTGCTGTGATGCTTTGTTGAGAACTCCTGGGCCAAATCGCCTGGTGACTCTTATCTCTAACCTAAAAGTCAGCTTGCTTCTTATGTCACACTCAGAATTTGGCATTTGTCAAACCCATACAATATCATTGCATTTATTATTTATTGATATTTCATCAGACACAATTCTCTTTTCTTCAATATTAGCTTGTTCTTTTTATCTGATTTTGTTCTTATCACTAAAGCACTATATCATGTAGGGAATAACTTTGTAATAAAGGAACAAAAGACCAATTTTACTGATGTCACCAAATCTACTTGATTCTAAAATAGACTAGGAAAAAATGATTCTTCTTTTTGTGTGTGTGTGTGTGTGTGTGTGTGTGTGTGTGTGAGAAACACAAGCCTGGACAGGGTGACAGGAAAAGCTGGCAAAAATCTCTGTTCTTCCAGTGACTAATCCACTTTGACTAAACATAGTCACTTTAAGCTTTTCACATCTCTGCTTCAATCTCATCCATATTCTCCCACAGAAACATAATGAGGATGACTAATACAAAGGAAGACATTATAGACTCTCAATAGGATGGAAAAATTCAATTGCCACTATTTTATAATATAAAAATATCAGTTTCATTTTCTGGCAGGTTTTAAGAATCTTAATTATACTTGTTTATAAATCACAGCAATCACTATTTATTAATCTTCTCCCTAAATATTAAGACACATACATATGCCTTAATTCTCACTTCTTAGATTATTTCTAGTGTGGATCAGAGGGTGTACCCATTGCAAATGGATTCTCTGAAAGCAGGCTTACACAGAAGACAGTATTACATGGTAGGTAAGAGCTTGAACTATGGAATCAGACAACCAGAATTCTATTCCTGTTTCACAGCCTAGTGAACGTGTGGCCTTGGATTCCTGAGGGCCTTATCCCCATCTTCAATATGAAAGATAATAATCAAATCTACCTCATAAAATAATTGAGGAGATACCACAGATAAGCATTACAAAATTGGAAAACAGCCTCAACAAACATTAGCTATTATTATTTGCAAGGAGATAAATCTTTAGGATTCTTTGAAACTCTTAAAAGGTGTATTTTACAATAAATATATGTGAAAATTCAACTATATATTTTATTAATACATATGAAAGCTAAGCAATTAATCCAAATGATTTATCTTGGGAAAAGTTACATAAAGTTCAACTGGAAGTGTCATTGGTTTTACAAAAATATACTTTTGCAAAGTGAATTATAAGATTTTAAAACATAAACTTATCTTAACTGAAAAGATTTAATATACAATAACTTGAGCAATGCATACATTTCCAGAAATCCCTTTCTTGAACAAAGCTAGTACAAAGGCATCTGAATTTCACATCAATGTAAGTATAAAAGTTTAACTATAGTTTCAGATTCACTCTAACCTACCAGTCCATCTGTTAGCAGCTTCTTTGGCAATTTTATTTGCTTGACCTGAAAAATATCATATATAAAAATTATATACAATTATTTACATGTATAAAATTACTTTCAACTATCTACAAATTTATCTTTTCATATGAGCAAATTTTCTATAAAATTTAATAAGATTTTTATAAAATTTATAAAGTAGTGCATTTTATAAAATATAGATATCTTTATAAAACAGCTATGAAAAAACCCCAAATGGTGGTATCAAATTCTGTCTTACAGAGCTGCTCAAATCCCAAGGAAATTTTAAATAGTTGTAGTTATATATTAGCCATGAATAGAAATAAATGAAGCAAGGGGTAGTGGCGTAATCCCAGTAACTTGGGAGGCTGAGGCAGGAGGATCCCAGGTTCAAGGTCAGCCTCAGCAACTTTTCTATTATCTCAAAATAAAAAGGACTGGAGATATGGTGGCTCAGTGGTAAATTCCCTCTGGGTTCATCCCAGTATCAAAAAAAAAAAAAAAAAAAAAAAAAGTGAACAATTTCTAAATGGCTTTTTCTACATAATCATCATTGATGACTTTGTTGTTTAAAGAAAAAATAAGTTTAAATGAGATGTTTCTCACCATATCAAAATATGATGAAATAATTTAATGTTAAGAATTTAACTGAATATAGATTGTTAAGCCACAAAATCTGATCTCAAAAAATTTTAGAGGTAATAAAGAAGCTCTATAGGAGAAAATATTTATTTACTTTACATTTAAATATACATATTACTATTACATGTATCTGTATATATGGCTTTCAAGTTAATCCATGTCTTTCAAGTTAATCAATATAGCACATAACAAAGCCATGATCAACTGGGCATAAATATCACTTATAATGATGACATTTATTTTGTGGTTGAAAGGTCATTCACTGTATTAAAATAATTTAGTGGCTTTTATTACACTCACATGGTTGTTCAAACAGCACCACCACCTAATTCCAGGGCATTTTCATTACCCAAAAGGAAGCCTTGTATCCATTAGCCATCACTCAACAATCCTCCTCCCTCCAGCTCCTGGCAACCACTAATCTACTTACTCTATAGATTTCTCTTTTGTGAATACTTCATATGAGTAAAACATATGCGGTCTTTTATGTCTGGCTTCTCATATAGCACAATGTTTTTCAAAGTTTATTTATGATGTACCATGTATTTGTGTGTGCTAAATCATATTTCACAATTTGCTTATCCATTCATCATTCGTTAGCCGATAGACATTTAGGTTATTTCCACTAATATGAATTATTTAATAATTTTTATGTGAACATATTTTCAGTTCTCTTGGGTATGTATCTAGGAATGGCACTGATGATTCAGATGGTAACTACATCATATCATTTTAAAGAATAAATTGTTTGCAACACCATTCCATAATCTCATCAGCAATCTAAGAGTTCCAATATCTTAAAAAAAAAAAAGAGTTCCAATATCTTCACATCCTCACCAACACTGTTTTTTGTTTTTTTTTTTTCCTTTTGTGACACTGGGGATTGAACACCAAATAAAAGCTTTGAAACAATCCTTAAAATAACAAGTTTAGCAGTCAGACTGAGAGATGAAGATTCCATCTTTTTGTTTCCTTTTTATTTTACCTTTTTTTCATCTTTGGTATTAGGTTCAGGCTTTGCACAAGCTAGGTGAGCGCTTCATCCCCAGCCCACATTATATTATCATGACAGAGGGTCTCACTAAGCTGCTGAGGCTGGCCTCAAATTCATGATCCTCTTACAGCAGGCTCGTGAATAGCTGGGATGACAGGCAGGTGCCACCACAAACACACTCAGCCTCATCTCATTCTTTTGTTTCTTAGGTCAATGATAAATCACTCTCTGTTATCTACCAAAATACAACCAAACTCATAGTCATGCCCCAATGTTGGCGTGACTGTTTAGTTAGGCAATACTGATCCCAAAGCCAAATACTAGCTAATAAATGCCTGCCATATCTCCAGGTATGTTTTGTCGGTACCTACAACATCCCAGACATAAGCATCAATACACCACTTTAGGTGGCATCTCCTGGGTCATTTGCAGAGGGGCTAATCTCATGTCAAGTCAGCAGCTCCATATGAGGTCCTCTGACTTTGACTTTAACCCTTAAAAAGTCTTCCTATGTCTGAACAACTTCCCTTTTTGTCTGAAAATCTTTCTTTTCCAGCTTGTTAATTTGTTAAGTAAGTCAATTATACCATTTTCAGGCTGTAATAAATCCCCACATTCAAACAGGTTCTACCAAATAGCTCCTATATATTTTTAACATTCTGAAATTTAAAATTTCCATTAAAAACATGGTCATTATTTTGACATGTTTTGACTCAGCATAAAGAAATACACTCATGTATGTACCTGTCAAGAAGAAAAAGAAATATCTACATGGAAGTATATTTTAGATTAAGTATGTGTTAATTAAAATGGAAGATGCAACAGGAAGGTATTTATCCTCAAAGTAGGCAAAGAGAATCAGCTATAATTCATCTACAAACCAAGACAGTTAAAGATAAAACAGTAGTTTTATGCAACGGCAACCAGCTGAAGACTGATGGGTAGACCACTTTCTTCCTCAGTTTCACTGGATAATCATCAGTCTTCCAGTCCCATCAGGATTGGGCTGTGGGGATCAGAGCCGCCGCGGAGAGGAGCAACAGCAGAAGCCCTGGAGGCTGCCCGCTGCCGCCGCATACTGAGATCTGGTCGGCAGCACAGCACTTGCCATGTCGGGCACCTGCCTCAGACTGGCGGCAGTGGCTGAACCTAGGGTTTTATACATGCTATGCAAATGTTCTTTTATTGAGCTACAACCATAGCCTTTTTTTCTTCTTTTTTTGAGACAAGGTCTGGTTAAGTAGTCTAAGCTGACTTCGAACTTGCATTCTCCTGTCTTGGCCTCCCAAGTAGTGGGGATTACTGCCCTGCACCACCACATCTGGCCCTTTTTAAAATCATAGCCATCCTAATGAGCATGAAGAGGCATCTCATTGTGGTTTTGATTTGCATTCCCCTAACGGCTCATGTTGAGCATCTTCATGTGTGCTTATTGGACATTTGTATAATTTCTTTGGAAAAATGTTCAAATCTTTTGTCCATTTCTGAATTAGATTTTTTATTGAAATGTAAGAGTTCTTGGATATTAGTCAGTAATCAGATATAAGATTCGCAAATATTTTTTCCCCTTTCTGAGTTTTCTTTCCACCTTTTTTTCTTTCCTTATTTTTATCGGTGCATTATAGTTGTACATATTGATAGGATTTGTTGTTACATATTCATACATGCACACTCTTTCCACTTTCTTAATAGTATACAAAAATTTTAAATTTTGATGAAATTCAAGTTATGTATTTTTTCTTTGGTTGTTTATTCTTTTCATGTCAAAGAAACTGATGCCTAGTAAAAGGACAAAGAAATATGTGCCTATGTTTTCTTCTAAGGGTTTTATAGTTCAAACTCTTTGTCTTTGAAACGCTTGAGTTAATTTTTGTTTATGATATGAGGTGGATATTCAGTTGTGCTCATACCATTAGATGAAAACACTATTTCTTTCCTAATTAAATGGTCTTGGCACCCTTGTTGAGAATCAATCGGCTTTATTTCTGGACTCTCAATTACATTCCATTAATCTGTATGTCTGCTTTCATACCACATTGCATCGATTACTGTAGAATAGTAAGTTTTGAAATTAAGAAATCTGAGTCTTCCAACTTCACTCTTCTTTTTCCAAATTCTTTTGGCAATTCTGTGTATCTTGCATTTTTATAGGAATTTTTAAAAATACTGATTTTATAGTCTGAAAAAATATTAGTTGTAATAGTTTTTCTTGGTGTGTATCTGTGTGTGTAAATTGTTTAAGGCTTTCTACATATGAATAAGATCACATTATCTAAAAAGAGATAATTTTTTTTAAAAAAAGGAAGAAATAAAGCTATTTTTAACTTTTAATTTATTCTAGTTAGTTATACAGGAGAGAGGAATGCATTTTGACAAATGGAGCACAACTTCTCATTCCTCTGGCTGTAAATGGTGCAGAGTCACATTAGTAGTGTAATCATACATGTACACAGGGTAATAATGTTTGTTTCATTCTGTCATTCTTTCCATCCCCACCGCCTCACCCCTCTCTTCTGCACAATCCAAAGTTACTTCATTCTTCTCTACCCACCCACCCCAACTATAGATCAGCATCCATTTATCAGAGAAAACATTTGGTTTGGGGGATTGGCATATTTCACTTAGCATGATATTCTCTAGTTCCATTCATTTATCTGCAAATGCCATAATTTCATTCTTCTTTAAGGCTGAGTAATATTCCATTGTATATATGGAACACATTTTCTTTATCCCTTCATCTATTGAAGGGCATCTAGGTTGCTTCCACAGTTTAACGATTGTGAATTGAATTGCTATGAACACTGATGTGGCTGTGTCCCTGTAGTATGCTGATTTTACGTTCTTTGTCATAAACTGAGGAGTGGGATAGCTGGGTCAAATGGTGGTTCCACTCCAAGTTTTCTGAGGAATCTCTATACTGTTTTTCAGACTGGTTACACCAATCTGCAGTTCCACCAGCAATGTATGAGTGTATCTTTTACCCCACAACCTTACCAACACTTATTATTGCCTTGATTATTAATAACTTGCCATTCTGACTAGAGTGAGATGAAATCTTAGAGTAGTTTTGATTTGCATTTCTCCAATTGCTAGAGATGATAAACATTTTTTCATATGTTTGTTGACTGATTGTATTTCTTCTATGAAGTATCAATTCAGTTCCTTAGTTCATTTATTGATTGGGTTATTTGTTTTTTTGGTGTTAAGTTTTTTGAGTTCTTTATATAACCTGGACATTGGTGCTCTATCAGGTGTGTGTGGTAACGATTCTCTTCTATTCTGTAGGATCTCTCTTCATGTTATTTATTTCTTCCTTTTTGAAATGGATGCCTTTTCTTTCTTATTCTTGCCTAATTGGCCTAGCTAGAACTTCTGGAAGAAGGTTAGATGGTTAGAAGGTTAGATGGAAGTGGTAAGAGTGAACATCCATGGGGAAAGCTTTCAGCCTTTCTCCATTCAGCAGAATGTTGGCTGTAGATGTTCATAGATTCCTTTTATCAAGTCAAGTTCACAATGCTGGTGAGCTGGAGCACAGATAAGAAAGAATAAGACGAAACACCAAAAACTCACTATTTTTACTGAGATTCATCCATTTTTTGTGAATGGGAGCCTGTAAGTCTTTAATTATATTTTCAGAGTTTTGAAAAAGTTGACTCTAACAATTCCTGCAAGCTTTTATGGAAGGGCATATTTTCAAAGGTGATTATTCCACCTTTTCACTGTCATCCTGACATTTATTTCTAAGGAAACTTGATAAGTAATCCTAACATTAATTACTTTCAAGTATTTTTGTGGGAATTTAATTTGTACTACTTGTTTTACATGGCCTCACTCAAATAACACTCAAAGCAGCTAAAATTAAAGTTATTGTTTTTACTTCTCACTTCTTGGGCATTTCCAATTAATTTTGTAAATGCTTACTTAATGATATCAACAATTTAATTGGCATGGTGAAATATAAATATTTCTTGCAGGCATGATCAAGAATTAAGACACAATATATAGCCATGCCTGTATAAACATGGTAACAGCTATTATCAGAAAAATGTGTTATCCAAAATAAACCATGACTTAGATAAGCCTAAGTGCTGTGATATGAGTCCTACAGGCAGCTATTCAGAATCAAATCCTATTAAAATCAATTTGTAAAACTCATAATCCTTTTAATCCAGTATAATCTCTTTTGCACTAACATGATAGCTAAAATCCTATGAAAACACTCATTATCAAAAAGCATATTTTAAAAACAATAATTTTATTGGGGAAAGGGAATTTGGGGTGAGTTGAGGTTAGAGCCTTTTTAAAGTTCTCTGAATTTATTGATAAGAAACTCACCTCTGGACTATTAAATATTTAAATTATTCAGATCTGTAAGTTTGTAGTTTTCATCAAGTTTGAAACAAATTAGCTTTAATTTCTTCAGATATTTTTCTAGCCCAACTTCCCTCTCCCCGCTGCCTCCCCGACCCCTTTTTGGATCCAATTATACATATATTAGGTTAAGTTGTTCTACGGCTCAAGGATGCCATTTTCATATTTAAAATTGTTTTTTGTTTCATTTTGGATTATTTCTATTGCTATGTCTTTAAATATATTAATCCTTTCTTCTATAAAATTTAATCTGCTCATTTACATTGGTATGATTTCCTTGGGCTGGAAAATAAATCATCAGACTTTTAAATTTAAAGGTTAAGGTGGATACCAGAATGTAGGGAAGCAGTATAAAATTTCAGCTGCAACTCAACCGTGTTATCATATGCTTTAGAAAATTCATCATCCTTTGTGTATCCTGACATTTCTTACTTTAAGTTTTAGTGCCTTTCTCAAACATGACACACTTGCCAAAATTGCTGCTTGATGATTTTGATTCAGATTTAGAGGGCTTTTTTTTTTTTTTTTTTTGGTACTGGGGATTGTTGATACTCTACTACTGAACTACATTTTCATTGTTCATTCATTAATTTTGTAGTATTGGAGCTTGAACCCAGGGGGACTCATCACTGAGATACATCCCCATCCCTTTTTATTTGTTTTGATACAGGATCTTGTTAAGTTGTGGAAGTTAGTTTTGAACTTGCAATCTACCTATCCCAGTCTTCTAAGTAACTGGGATTATCTTTTTATTTTATTTTGAAATAGATTCTCACTAAATTGCCCAGGCTAGCCTTGAACTTATGATCCACTTGCCTTAGGATCCCGAGTAGCTGGGATTACAGGCATGTGCTACCACATCCAGTGCCAATATCTTAAAACATATGCCCAATTTTCAATTCTTGTTAATATCCTGAAACTCAAGAAGAACCATTAACTTAAGATCACTATCATTTTAAGTCAAAGTACTTGGATGAACTTAAATGAAAGTTTTAGTCATTCCTGAGTGAACAGAAGTTATCAAGATCATGAAAAGAACTGTAAAACATGGGAAGTCACAACTGGACACATCAGTCAGGTTCACCTGCCCACGGGAAGCACCCATGGCAGTACAACAGGGACCACAGAGTGGAAAAACTTAAATCCTTACTGAGTGTGCCTAATAGTTGTAAATCCTAAACATAAAAGAGAATGAGACAGGTAGGCAAAGAGGCATTACTCTAAGGAAAAAGTATAAGAACTACACAAAACTGTAATAAAGAAAGAAGGCAGAATCAAGTAAGAGTAATACATGAAGGATCAGATTTAGTTACTGTGAAAACTTGGAATTTCATAAACTATTAGATGGCAAAGCCATGTTGATCCTGAAAATTAATCAATTGAGAGTATTAAATTTGGCTAAGAAAAACTGTTCCTAGGCAATTGCAGTGGCACACACCTGCAAATCCTAGCTACTTTGAGGATAAGGCAGGAGGATCACAGCCTGTGCAGCCTTCGAGGCCACCCTGAGCAAGAACCTGTCTCAAAATGAAAAAAAAAGGGATGGGGATTCAGCTCAGTGATAAATTAGCATTCCTGGGTTCAACCAAAGAAAGAAAGAAAGAAACTTGCCTGTAAAGCTCTCTTTCACAAGATGCTCTAGATAAGGCACACAGTTGATATCCTCTTGACCAAGCAGTGTGTGCTTGATTTTGAAGAGGAATCATGAGCAGGCCTAGGTTCCTACCTTGTCCCCAATTACATTGGATTTGCATGTGTTTACTGAGGCTTATTTGATAGTAGTTAAACCTTTCAATCAGATTAAAGTGGTTAATTTTTGTTTTCGTACCAGGCCAAGGATTAAACCCAGGGGCACTAAATCACTGAGCCACATCCCCAACCCTTTTTATTTTTTGAGGCAATCTCACTAAGTTGTTGAGGTTGACTTTGAACTGTGATGCTCCTGCTTCAGCCTTCCGACTGCTGGGATTATAGGCCTACACCACCACACCCAGACAAAAGTGGTTAATTTTGAAGCACTAGATTTGGTTATTGTTTTATTTTGCAGCATGTGTGGGCAGCATGAAAAAAACTAACATGTCTCCCCAAACACTTAATTTACAAAGAATGAGTGGTTCAGAGAGCTCTCCATCCTTCCTCTGTCCCTGTTTTTCTTTCTTTCTCCCTCTCACTCTTTGAGAATACCCGGGGAAATTAGCTGAACCAGGTGAACAGTGCCTCCTGGAATTGAGCAAAGTGGGCACCTACCTTCAAATAAATTTTAACTTTAGATTTATGCTAACTGATTTTTTTATACTTTCTTAATTCTAAAAAAATACTACCAAGAATTAGGTTAGCTTAATTGTAATAAAAATACTTAGGTTAATTTTAAAGTATCAAATATTTCTCAAAGCTTTCACTTACACTCTATAAAACTGGTTTCACTTGGTAAAGGTTCCTTAAAAGGCTGATATAGAAAAATATGAAGAAAGCAATACATGTTTTTCTAAGCAATTAAATGCTGTACCTTTACCTTTATAACATACTCTTTAATTTTTTCAAATTTCTATCTTTACATATAAACAAAAATTTTCAAAATTACTTTTGCGGGGTGGGGTAGCTCAGTGGTAGAGCATTTGCTGGGCATGTGCAAGGCCCTGGATTCAAACCCCAATGCCACAAACAAAACAAAACAAAAAACTGGTAATTGATTTAAAAGCAGGAAGGCAATTCAATTTACAGTACTTTTATGCAACTTGCAAACTTATATTTATAATATTCTTTTTCTTAGAAGATTATGGTGGATTTCTTTCTAGAATCAAGGTGCCTGGGTCCAAATTGCTTCTCTGACCTCCCAGTTTCCTAAGTTTATATTTTATGTCTTTATGCTTCTACCTCATTCACCTTACTTAAATGATACTTAATTTTTTAAAAAAATTTTTTAGTTGTAGATAAACACAATACCTTTATTTTATTTATTTATTTTTTTGTGGTGCTGAGGATAAACCCAGTGCCTCACACATGCTAGGCAAGTGCTCTATAGCCCTACTTATTAATTTCAAAGTGTCACTATTCAATGCTTTAACACTAAGTCTACTTCCCTTTTATACTACAAAGTTAGAGCACTCAAATCAGAATACTATTTTAGCTGATTTTATCACATACTTAGAGGATGGTTCCTGGGCAACGAGAAGTTCAAAGTCTCTTTCATTATCAAGCACAAACTTACGTATTTCTTCTACAACTTGTGGGTCACATTCTTTGTATTTTTCTACTTCTGCCTTAAGCTGTTCCCTTTGGTTCCGAAGAGTAGAAAGCTCTTTCACTAGCATGGTTCGCTCTTCCTGCATTCAAAACAGTTTCATATACAATTAAGACAAATAAAATTCCATATGTTATAAGGTAATACAAAAATATATACATATCTGTGTGCATACATGTATAGATATTATATTTATACAGTTGGCTCTTCATATCCATGGATTCTGTATCCACAGATTTAAACAATGATGGATAGAAAATACCCCCCCACAGAATTTCTCTATACCAAATATTTACATATTTTTTCTTTCTATTACTCCACAAATAATATAGTATAACAACTATTTGCATAGCATTTAGATTGTATTAGTATTATAAGTAATTTAGAGAGGATGTAAAGTATGTGAGAGGATGTGTGTATGTAGGTTATATGCAAACACTATGCCACTTGATATGAGAACTGAGCATCCATATATTTGATACCTCAGAAGGCCTTAGAACCAACCAATCCCTTGTGAACACTGAGGGATGACTGTATATACATATATGCACAGTGTAAGAACAAGCTCAATTTTTATGTTTGAAATCAAGAATTCTTAGTATATATTGAAAAATGTAAATAAACATATGGAATGAAATATGCATAGCTGAGACATTACTGATCATGCCTATATAAACTCAAAGATGACCATGTTATCATATATTAGGGAAAATAATTATTCTGGTTTTTGAGTAATTTCACAAGATCATATATACATATGTAAGTAACAGTTTATGTTAACATCAATCACTATATGATCATCAGTTACAAAGTATCCTGAGCAATTTTTCAATCTTTAAGGATGGGTATGTAACCTTTGTACATATTTAAAGATATCAGAAATAACAGAATTGTAGCTTGAGGGCTCCTACCATTTTCCTTTAAAGGTAATTAGATTAAAACTTTTAAATAGAGTAAGATCCAATAAACCCCATTTAAAATTTCTAGCTGCAGTTCTAACAAGAAGCCATAGTACTATGGATATGCACTTCATATTGTGAAACCTGAAAAAATAAGTCCAAACAAAAACCAAATGCTGGTAAAGATTATGGTATAAAATTACAAGATAAATCTGAAGTAAAATCAAATAAAGTTCAAATGGCCTAAATGGGACTTGTGAAAGATTCCTTGATACCTTGTATTTTTTATATTTGTACTTTTTTTTACTTTTGCCTTTGGCTGTTCCCTTTGGTTTCAGTATGCAGTAAGTTGCTTTTGCTGGCATTTGTACAGAATAAATATGTAGAACAACATGATCTGAAGCAAGACAGGCCAATAGAACTGTCTTCAATGACAAATGTTCTAGGCTGTACTAATACAGGAGCCACTAGCTACATGTGGCTACTGAGTACATGAAATGTGGCTACTATGACTGAGAAACTAATTTTAATATAAACGGCTGCATAGTTAGTATATACCATTTAGCACAGCTCAGGAAATATTTAAAAGTAAGTAGAATATAAGAAAATGGGCATTATTTGCCATCTACACCCAAACTGTACCTGCTTTAAAAGGAAAAACAAGAGGAGAAAAAGCTAATAAAACAACAACAAACAGAGTGGAGAACATCGATGTGAATACAAAGGCAGCTCTCCAGACACTCTGACTTGAAGTCACCTTAGATACCAGCACTATGATTTTTGCCAAATTATTCAAATTCTTTGTGCCTCTAGTTTCTCAAATGTAAAATAGACATAATAATAGTAGCTACCTTTTTGGATCACTGGAATTCAACAAATATATTCTGGCGGGTAAGACTTCATCTTTCTGAATTACTACACCAGACTGATAGTAGGTGAAGGTTCCAACAAGGTTAGCTGCACTGGATGCAGTAGACTGATAACATTTAGGTACACTGGCTTACAATTTCAGTGCATATATATGTTACAAATAGTTGAAGGTGTTTTTATAAGCTACTCTCAGTGTTAAAGAAAAAAGTGGATAAAATAAAGAAGGACTGAGGTTGTGGCTCAGAGGTAGAGCGCTCGCCAACAATGCGTGAGGTACTGGGTTCGATCCTCAGTACCACATAAAAATAAAGATATTGTGTCCACCTATAACTAAAAAATAAATATTTAAAAAAATAAAGAATTGATAACTGCTATTGTCAACTGAAGAAGTAATTATAACAGCTTCAGTTAAGCCCAGAATTTACCTTCTTTTAAATGTTCCACAAAAATGATCATTCTCTGCTTGCTACCTGTGATTGTGCTCACTACTAACATGAAGCTACTCTGTAAGCATAAAGCCACTGTAAACCTAAGATGCATTCCTTTTCGTGATATAACAAGTTTTCAGGTTACTTTCTTTCACAGTTAAGTGATACAAATAGAGACTTAGGTGGACTGCTTAGTGGTTTAAGTTGATCTTCAATATTTAAAAAATATTTTCATAAAAATCATTCTTGAGACAATGATGAAACCAGAAAGTGAGGTGATTTTTAAAAACTCTAACAATACTTTAGAGCACATGGCACTTTTAAAAATAGATCAATGTTCATTTGAATAATTTCAAAATTTTATAGCGACACAAGGATACTCTGTTGATTATTTTTAGTTTATATACAAAAATTTTTAAAAAAGTGCTTGCCTCGCTGCCTCAAGGCCCTGGGTTCAATCCTCATATAAATAAATAAAATAAAGTTATTGTGTCCAACTACAAATACCAAAAAATAAATATTAAAAGTATACATAAATGTTTAATAGGGTTTACTATGTATCAGAATATCTGCAAATATAAACTAGTTTATTCCAAACAATAACCAAATGAAGTACATTTTATTATACCCAATTTTACAACTGAGAAAACGGAGAACAGAGGATTTAATAAGAGAGTCTTGCTCAAGTTTGTTTCTGTGTTATGCTAAAACACACACACACACACACACACAAACATGTACAATCTATATAATGCCTGGATTCAATTCCTACATCCTCTACTACTTCTCTCTGGTGAAAATGGAACCCTCCTCACAGGAAGCTCTTTTTCTTCTCTTTAAAATTATCATTATTATGTGAATGAATAATTTTGAATGTAATGCATTACACTATTGTCATAAATGATCATGTATGTAAGAAATAAATAAAAAAATAAAAGTACCATTATTAAAGAAACTATAGACACAAACTTACCGTCTCATGTCGGCCAATTTTAGCTTTCTCAATGCTCTTCTGTAGGTTTGCCTGCTTTTGGCTTCCCTCAGACCACTAGAGAATCAAAGCATAAAATGGTTTGCTAAGATTAACTTTTGAAAACAAATGAAATTTATCTCTGGCTCAGGCCTGTGACACAAAAAAGTAAAAAAAGACTACCCCCAAAATTAATTCTCTTGGAGCTGGGCCTGTGGCTCAGTGGGAGAGCGGTTGCTTTGCAAGTGTAAGGCACCGGGTTTGATCCTCAGCACCACATAAAAAATAAATAATGATATGTGTCCATCTAAAAATTATAAAAAACAACAATAAAACTAATTCTCTCATTTGAGGAAAACCAAGGATAATGAATCATTAGACTGAAAAAAATTGTTTTAAATATACTCTTATTTGATGAGGAAAAATGAACAATATGACTTTAATCTTTTATACATCTTCATTTATCTGATTCACCACCTCTGCCCCAAATAATCTGAGGTCTGTTATTTAATTAGAGATTAAACTTGAAAAGTAAAAAATATTTATGTTTTATACAAGTTCTTTCTTCAAATTTCATTTTGCTTCTAACTAAAGCCATTACAAAATACCCTACATTGTTTCTTGTAGATTTGTAGTCTTAGGATCTGTTTCATTAATAGTTAATAATGATTGTATCACCTTTTATTCTTTTTTTTTTTTAAAGAGAGTAGAGAGAGTTAGAGTTAGAGAGAGAGAGAGAGAGAGAGAGAGAGAATTTTTTAATATTTATTTTCTAGTTTTTTTGGCGGACACAACATCTTTGTTTGTATGTGGTGCTGAGGATCCAACCCGGGCCGCACGCATGCCAGGCGAGCACGCTACCGCTTGAGCCACATCCCCAGTCCCACCTTTTATTCTTTAATAGTTTATGAGGAACTGTATACTTTACATCCTAAACTCTCACACAAGAAAAATTCTGTTAGTCTGCTGCCAATTTTAGGGATGACATACTTTTTTCTTTCTTTTCTTTTCATGATACTGGAAATTGAACCCAGAGTCTCAGGTGTTTTTGGCAAGTGCTCTACCACTATGCTGCACCCCTAGCCCTTTTTGTTCTTTGAGACAAGGTCTCACTAAGTTGCCCAGGCTGCCCCTGAACTTTCAATTTTCCTGCCTCAGCCTCCTAAGTAGCTGAGATTATATGTGTGTACCACCATATCTGGCTTGTTTCACATATTTTAGGAGTGACTGATTCAGATATTTTACTCAACTGAGAAAGCAGATTAATTATATGTGGAAATGGATTAAATAATACCAGCATAAAAGACTAGATACAGATTATTCATCAGTGTGTGACTAGGTCTACAGCAAAAGGGATAAGAAACTTCTGAACACTGTTTTGCTTTCTCAATGTTATTAATTTTACCTGGTCCATGACTAATAAAATAAGCACAGGAAATTTCCAACATTAAATTGTCCACATCTTTTACTCTAGTTGGAAATTTCAGACTCATTTGATTAGGTGAAAGACTATTCAAAAATATATTCCATACCTCCCTCACTCTTGAGTTATAAACATTTAGAAAATAATTAATGACAGGATGAATTTCTATTGTTTGATAAGAAACTGACCTTCCACAATATAATCTAGTTATAGAGAGAAGGTAAATAACATCTAAATTTTTTTTTTTAAATTTAAAATTAGGAAATACTATCTTTAAAAGTTTGGCAGCTTTGTCCTGGCATTGGGAAATTTCTCACTTCTCAGTATGCATGAAGGGAGTATTGTAAGCTTTCTTTACTAGTTGTCTAGTCATTGATTCAAATACACAGCCCAAATAAGATCTATTAGCTATGCCAGACATACAACATCACCAAACCAGTTACACTTCTTCTTGAGAGCAATTATCTTCCTAAGTTAAAAGAAAAAATAAATCTGCTATACATTTAAGAGCCAAAATAAACTTCAAGGCCCAAATTAGCAAGGAGATCTAGTTCTTTATAAAAGGGTTCCCCCATTTATAAAATAAAGCCAAGTTTAAAAAGTAAATATTCCATCCTAAAGTAGCCATCTGAAAAAATTTAAAAATGTATGTAACATTTAAATTCAGGAGTAGAGGAGTCCTCAAATAAAAAACACACAGGTATTAGCACAATATTGTCCCATTAAGTGTTTTAAAAATAACCAAATAGGTAGATATTATACAAAAAGTTAATGATTACATAAAATAAGCCAATAAGGGGATTTAAACCTTAATTATATAAATGAAATGTCTTTAAGGTACTTATGTCTATTTGCAATTATTTAAAACTTAAAAGCTTTGAAAGTGAGTGCATTCAAGAATTCCTTAATTCTGAGAATAATTTTATGCACTTTAAATGTGAAACCCTACATTCATGGGTTGTCACGTTAAGTATCTTGGTAATAAAGGGAGGCACAATCTAAATGATGTTTTCAAAGAAGAAGCTTCTTCTAATTATCTTAAATACTGAAACAGTTTAGTTTGACTCAATAGTGAAGGATTCTTGGCTCACTGCTTAATTTCTAAAATCTCAACACTGGAAACAATGAAAGCAACTCTTGTTAGGCTGCCTTTGCTATCAGTTTTTCATCTACATAGCTACTAGAAGCACTACTGCTATAGTTCCTAATATGCACCTTGGAATTAAACCAAAAGCAGGCCTCAAGCAGTAAGAGTTGGAATTGTTTCCTACTTTATATATAGTATGTGAACCAGCAGTTCCAAATTTTGACATATATCAGGATAACCCAAAGGGATGGTTAAACCACAGGTTGCTGGGTTCCACCTCCTGAGTAGGATGGGGGTAGGCCCAAGAATATGCATTTCTAACCCGTTTCCAGATGATGCTGATGCAACTGGCTGTGGGTACCACAACTGTGAGAACTACTGTTTTCTTGCAGTAATAAACTCAGTTAGAATACACGGGATATCAATATCCTGTGGATACTGGGCTGGAGCCGTAGCTCAGTGCTAGACTGCTTGCCTAGCATGTGTGAGGCCCTGAGTTTGATCCTCAGCACCATATAAAAACAAATAAATAGAATAAAGGTGTTGTGAAAAAAAATTCTTAAAAAAAAAAAATCCTGTGGGGATATTATCTAGTTCATAAGTAAAAACAAATTACTGCTAATACTGTAGACTGAACTACAAAAATATTTCTGAATTTAGAAATATTAAATATTAGACAACACACATTTATTAAAAAAAAAGGGAGGGATAATACCCTATATTTAAAAAAGGTATTTGGCACAGGATTCCCTTAAAAGCAACCTTTTCTGGTACATTTCTATAATAAAAAACCAGAATCAACTATATTAATCCATTAATAATTTAATGCTAAATTAAATTTGGGAATGGACTTATTATAATTTTAAAAAAAATTTAGTAACTCAGAACAAATGGCAACAGCTGCAACAACAATAAAAACTACCTATAATAAGTAAAAACAGGATTTCATCTTTAGATTTGAGGATCTGACACAATGTTTCTCTTTGAATGCATTCCAGGCCACCTATTTCAGATACTCAGGGTAGAGAAACACAATTCCCATGTTTTCCAAAGGGCTAATTCACTGCCTGGAGGAACTGTCTATTCATAAGAGAAACAGAAAGATTGATTCAAGCTGGCTGTATTGGAATCTTGATTTGCTCTTTTTAAGAAATGAAGAAATTTCAAAGCATTAAAGAAAGAATACAAACTTTCATAGGTGGGAAAGAATGACTAACAACAGAAAATGAGGGAAGAGAGATCATAACAAGAGCAACCCCATCAGTCTACTGCTTTATTAAAATTCATGTACTATGGAAAAATATGTTCTATGGTTTTTGCTTATGCTTTAAAATAATTTGCTTTGTTTTAATACAATTAAAATCTTGTTAAGAGTATTTACAACTTCAAAATTATATCTATCTTTTAATAAAGGTGATATTTCATTTAGAAATTGATCATAAGGAAATATTGAATACTCTCAAGATATAGTTACACATACAGATGTGAGCAATGAGGTCTCAACATTAGAGAAACGTTAAATCAATATTTCATAGTACAGATGTGTCACAATCAGACAGTTGAAGAAAATATGTTCAAAGAAAACACACACTTTTTTTTTTTTTGTACTGGGAATTGAACACAGGGGCACTTTACCACTGAGCCACAAACCCAGCCCTTTACTTTTATTTTAAGACAGGGTCTCACTGAGTTGCTGATGCTGGTCTTGAACTTGTGATCCTCCTGCCTCAGCCCTTCAAGCAGTTGGAATTACAGTTATGTGTCACTAGGCCCAGCTATTCAAAGAATTTTTAATGACACTGAAAAATTTTTACAGAATAAAGCTGTTTTAAAATATGGAACCAAAACTACAACTCAATTAAAGTCTATCTATAACCAAAAAACAAAACAATAAAAAAACCCACAAGAAAATGTATAAAATTTAAATAATGCTTATCTCTGTACTGAGGAACATGCTTTTTAAGTTTTCTATGTAATGAGTATAGAACTATTATTTTAAATATTATTTTCTTGTTATAAGTAATATATGAATGCATTATCAATAGATTAAAACATGAGCACATTCTTACTGTAAAAGACTAAAACAATGCAGGCGCATTTAAGCAAAATTCCTTTGCTTCCCTGCTTTTATGCAAACTCTACAACCCCATCCCCAGAGACAGCCCTTGTAAAAACCTAGTGTGCATCCTCGTCATTCTTTTGCTTTCTATTCAGATACAGACCAAAACATATATGGGATTATCCTTTATATAATGGGAATTTCCATGTCAGCATAACTAGGCAGATCTATGTCATTCTTTAAAAAACAAAAACAAAAACACAACAAAACAAAAACCTCGTTATTTTTAGAGCAGTTTTAAAGGTTTGACCAACTTCCCATATGTCCCCAACCCTATCTATCCAGTCTTCCCTATTATTCTGCGCCAAACGATACTATAATTTACTACAGCTACTACAATTTATGAACCTATACTGACTACATTATCATCCAAAGTCCACAGTTTACATTTCATTTTTGGTGTGGTACATTCTATGATGTACTATTATAGGATCATAGAACAGTTTCAC